TTGCCGCACTGATCCAGTTGCTTTGTTAAAAGTTGGAAATGTTTGTAATTTGCAGGCAGCTGCCTTAAAGTAAGAAAAACTGTACTTTTGACATGTGATTTTACCATAATTATGAACTTTTTCTCTCTTGTTTAGATTACAAAAGATGTGCAAGATTGCTCACCCGATTAGCAATGAGCCCACTCTGCATGCAATCGTAGAAATTTGTACGTGAGTATTTTCTGATTTTAGAGTTTTTTTCAGTTGGATTCTTTTCCACTACTTTGATGTGTTTTAATAAAGTGTTTTAAGATAAACACATTGTGCAATTAAATATATTTATAGCTCAGTTCTACAAGAAGTCGCATTTAGATAAGAGGGAGTTTTAGGGAACTGTCTGCTGTCAAACTGAACAAACTGATGCTCATGTCATCAGAAAGTTATACATTTGTTATGTTGGAYGTGTTGATGCGTTATCATTTCTGTAAAGGTTTTTCACTTCACTTCTGATTTCTTTGAATTGTTGTTCCTCCACAGAGCCAGACTTTCTTCTAATTTTTAAAAGTTCTCTTAATTTATATTTTGTGAGGCTTGGTAACGGTCTTTCAAAGTTTTTATATATATTTTTTTATTAACTCTGGCTGCTTTTCCATTTCTGTTTAATGCTGCTTACTTGACCAAAACATACTGAGCAGCTTGTTATTCAAAAAAAAGAGAGAAAATGAATAAATGATGCAAAAATAATTATAATAATAATAACTTTGGCCCTTGAAAAAAAACTCTACCTGCAGAAGATGAACAGCATCTTAAACTCATGTTGATGCATCGTCCCTCAGTTTATCATCAACTGATTGCCAATTTTTCAGCTAATAGTTCTTTGGAAATCTTGCTGGTGCTTCAAAGTTATTTCATGGCTCAAAATGTTTTAACTTTGGCATTTACATTTAGCACCAACAAAGAAATGAGAACAATTTCTGGCTTTGTGTCAGCTTCTATACAAAAAGTGCCTAAAATATCCAATTTAAATTTGGTTGTTTCTTAAGTTTTCTACTATGCATCGATACAATATGGGTTCATTTATAGCTGAACAATTCATAAACCAGAGTTAAGTGTTTTTTTTTTAAAAGAACGTTTATCTATATGAAAATGGTCAGGTACTGGACTCGGAGGCAGGAAAACCCTTCAGGAAACCCATTGGAGAACTACTGATTTAGTTGACTTTAAAAAGTCACATTATCAACTGGCTCTTGGGAAGCAATAGTGTGCAAAAATGACAACTGAGTCAATACTTTTTAACATTACTTTATCTTGACGAACTTTAGTGATGTTTACATTTGAACAAATGTGAAAACCCAGCGTTGTTTATGTCCTCACCTTGTGAACAACACTAAACTCATGCACAGCTTCGGCAACTAACCTTCAACACGCCAAAGAGTACCTCTCCCAGGACAAAAAAAAAAGAACTCTGATTGTCGTCAGTGGAGTAATTTTGGATGTATAGTCATTCTTTTGTCAAGGTGATCTTTAACAACGGCTCCTGTAATCTAGCATRGGTAAAAGCTTGTGCTCAAGCTGAATGCAATTTAGTCCAGTGTGATGAGTGATGGCTGTGAACAGATTTATTTGCATGAATGGTCATTGGGTTCAGTTGGTGATAATATAATGGTAGAGGCTGACACATTCTCAGGAATCGCATAATAAGATCCCGCTGGCTCGGTTCTGAGTTCACCTCTATGTCACAATTGACGAACTTTCAGACGCATTAAGTGAGTCACGGTGTAGTAATTCTGATCATTTCTGAGTGAGCTTTAGTAACATTTAGGTATTTCGGTGAGGGCTGGGCAGCGATGACCCTCTTTACAAGATGACAACACGACATCCCTAAAAAAAAATGTTGAGACGTGTCAAACTCGCCAAGTCTGAACGCGAGGTTTGAACAAGAAGCTTTAAAACCACTGACACTTTTTGTGTTTTGGAATTTAATTTCAGGTCCTCGTTTAATGGAAGAGGGATCAATGTGTTTGCCAAGAAAGTGCCTTCAAATCCACAGYGGACATAAGAACATTGTTGTGTTTATATAGTGTCTATTTGTGTTGTTCTTGTTTTCAGAACTGAAAATAATGTGCTGGTTGATACTGAGCAGAGTGCTTTTATTTTGATGGACCTGAAAAAAGTTTGTATTTGTGAGGAAAGCATTTATTTATCATTAAACGCACCTATTTATTGAACAAATATGTACATAACAATTCAACAATCCTTTAAAAATCTGATTATTTTGCTTATAAAAGTTAGATTTGATGAATATGATTTGATGATGTTTTTTTCTATACAACCTTTACTATTATGCTGATGTTACACTCCATCGTTTTCATCATTAAAACTTTATTTGGCACTTATCTGAGAGATTGTTAACAATGAGACCAYGTGGAAGACCAATGGTAATTACTCACTGCGTTATGAATAAAGAATATTGAAGCACAGSAGATTTTGTGATTACTGATGGTGAGGCAGATGATTCAGGTTCATTTTGTCACTGTGTTTTTTTCCATTGTCCTTCTTTAGACAGAAATCTGCTCATCTGAAGCCATGAACATTGAACTTTATGTATAGCTTCTGTAAGACCTCTATTCTTCTGGGGGTGGAAAAGTCTGCCTTTTTGTGTTTGCCTCATTCGATCACACACTTTAGCACAGCTTTCAGACTTATTACAGTGAACAGAATCAAACCCAAATAAAGTTCTAAGCAGGACAAAAACAAACTCATTGGTCAGATTGGTTGATAATAGTTCAAATGTAATGAAAGAAGAGTTTCTATTATTAAAGAGATTTAAAGTGCCTGTAGTGCATATCCTTTAAATACAAAAATGTAAAGGAAAACACTTTTATATTTGGCAAACTTATGTGTGATTTTATCCAGTTTGTTGCATAAATGGCATATTTTCCTTTGAATTTGGCTCAGCCAACATGAAACAGGAAGTGACATTAAAGGGAAACTCTTTAAGAAAGAAAACTCCCTGGTCTTTGTGTATTGAAACAATATACTCTGATTCTTTTTTTACTTCTCTCTGATAGTGATTAAATATTGTCTATAGAAACATCAAATTCTCAGTCTGTTGTCAGCCACTGCTCTGTATACATGCTGTTATTCCCCTTTGACATCACTTCCTGTTACTTCACATGCAAATATCTCAACTGTTCATCTCAGAAGAGTGATTTCTTTTGCAATATGTTRTCAATTACATCTTTCCAAAAATGCATTCATATTTATTACAAAGTTTGATGTCACAGGCACTTTAAAACCACATGAAACTGACTGTAAGACAAAGCTCACATAAAAGTCCGACTTCACTTAAACAGGGAAAACAATATTTTCAGTCAAACAGCCAACATGTTTCTCCTTCCACACTTCATTATCAGAAAAATAGCAAACAACATGTTTTGAGGAGTTTAGGAATRGCCAAGCTCCTCGTGAGGATTTTCTAATTGTAGATAAACACWTGAGAGCTGTTGTGTAATAAAATTCTAATCCATCATTATGTATTACGTGAGAACGATTACATATCTGAACACAAACAAAGTCCTGAGAAAACAAAACTGGTCAAAGATTTCTTCTTATATCAATTTTGACTGATTTTTTATTATCATGATTTTGGGTAGTTRATCAAACATTGATCCCTACAGACATGTTTAATGGGATGCTGATAGATTAGGTTCAGCTTCACATGTCAATCATTATTTACTAGAGTTTGGCTGAAACTCGTCATATGAACACGTTTGCATGTGGACTGAAGCTGCATGACTTAAAGAATATGCTTGATTATGTGCAGATCCTAATCTCAATTGATGCTCTGTTTACAACCTGATATGGGCTATAAAACGAGTGATGGCCTCTGCTCCACAAATCACTGCTTCCTTATAAGATCAGGGGGTTCCACCTGAAAAATTTATGCTCCATGAACTTGCAACATGAATAAGTGCGAGACTTGATGTTAGATCCAGTGATCCTGGTGGCAGACTGTTTGATACCTGGGCCAATTAGGGAAAGGGTGACGTTTAACACTCAAACTATAAAAGGATTAGGCGGCTAAAAATACCAAGTGCCCCTCATGGGAATGCATCGGGGATTCCTTCTGCTCTCCGGATGGGCAGAACAGGGACACCGGATCCTAATCTGAGGAGGATATCACTTATCTGGAGACAAACAGCACAGATTAGGAGAGGAGACAGAAGATGCATCAGGGACAGCATGTGGGAGGGCTTTAACGCAATTACACACCAGCACCAAATCCCTCCTCTGGTACCTCTGAGAAATTTGGTGTAATAAATAGTAAATAGAGACCAAAAGCCATGCCATTTCCTTCCTGTCAGGCTGCACCCGGCTCCATCAAAGCCCTGGAGTAGAGAGCGGAAACACGCAAATGTTGTCACTCCGCTGCGATCAGAGCAAACATTTGTCATGACGTGAAGTTTGGGCCCTTTAAGCACAGCTCATAGCTGATTTCAGCTCACCGAATAAACTGATCTTTAGCCGCTTTTAAAACCCTGCTTCAAATTTTCTTGTCAAACATATTTCATGCTGAGACTTAAACAAGGTTCCTTATGACGTATATCAAATCGCCTCCCCCGATTCACAGAATTTTGTGGCTGTAGTGAACACTGCAATCCAATTTTGGAAACCCCCAGGCCTCATTCAGGAAAACCATTGCATTTATAGCAATCACAGTAGCCTGGGTGGCTGTAAAACTGTCACAGAAAGCTCACCGCTTCACTCCATGTCTCATGATTAATTCATTTTTCTCTCATGCCCTGTGTAGACTGCTCAAATCCCCCATGACTCACCAATAATATACATTCAGATAAAACAGCTCCCATTAGGGATTTGACAGCTGAGAGATGAATGAGTTGTCATCATCAGTCGGCTCGTCTCCAGCAATTATACTGTACCAAACTGGAAATACCATACATACGAGCGATGCTGACATGTAACACCTTCTGTTTTGTTAAATCTTAGCTGAGGCCAGAATGTTTTCTTGACTCCGACGGCACCTGACAAACTGATTCCTAACTCTGCAGCGGAGAAGAGATTCGCTGCGGTTCTGTCTGCGTTCCAGAGGAAGTATCTTTGATCCTGTTGTGCTGGCAAAGTGTCCGTGCCGCCCCCTCAGCATGTCCCTCACTGTGTGCTATGATGCCTGTCACTACTGAGACAAAGCACAACAACTTACTGCAGCACATCATCCCTCAGCTGAATCTTTGTGGGGTTTTTTACCCAGCGTGGCATGCAACGGTGTTAACAAATTCCAAGTTTAAAAACATTTAAATGCATAATTCTTTCTTTATTAAATCAAACAGGTTGTGATTAAAAAGATTACAGTATTTACAGATTTATAAATCAGTCTACTAACTATGCTGTGACTGAATTCATTCTTCTCTCTTAGAACAGATGAAAATGACAAATGTTTTGTTAAAAAAAGGCATGCAAACTGATAAATAAGGCTTATTGTTAAACAACATGGACTGGTGACAGTTTTCTTATCGCAACAGAAAAGAGATCCAACAAAATTGTAATACAAAACAATGAGAAACAGAGTAAACCAAACAAAAATAAATTTTATTATTTTAAAAACTATAAGTAGATAGAAAAAGGCCAAAAGGGGGTAAACCTAAACTTGAACCACATTTCATCTAAAACACAAACCTCCACCCACAAATATTCCTAAACACTTATTTTATATGTCTGTATATAACTGCATAAATCCATTAAAACCTTTTAATCACTCAAATGCAGTGGATTCAAACCAAGTTGAGCCAAAACTCCACGGACAAACTTTCATACTTTTTATTAGCTGTGTGATCTAAAAGCTTTCCAGTTGCTCAGTTTGTTCAATAATACTTCCCATTTTAAAGTAAGTAAAAACCTAATTAAAATTTGATTAAATCAAATGCATACATAATAAAATATACCTAAAATGATTTCTGAGTATGACGGTGTTGTTTTGTGTCAGGTAATGATTAACAACTTAGAGCAGAGGTTCTGTGTCGTTCCAGTTGACCGATGCATCTTTCCACCTGCATAACAAACAAAAACAAAACATTTTTTATAAATATACGTGTATATATA